GTATATAGTTTCATTATTTTATATTAATAAAACTATATTCATTAGTTAATTGTTATTTTTTGTATAACAATGGTCATAGGTAAAAAAAAAGAAATTCTTTGAATAAAGTTTCTAAAAATATTTAATATAACTTTTTATCTGAATCAATAGATTACAAAGATTTTCCTCCATTGTATCAACTTATAAAATACATGACCAAAACTATAAATAAATATGTATGTTGTCTTTTTCACTATGGAAATCTTAGATTTATATATTGAATACCATGTGGACGTTGAAAATCCTGTTTTTTTACTTGAAAACATTAATTGTATAATATTATCTTTGTTCTTTTTTTAAAATTAATTATATTTAATAATAGAAAAATCAAAAGGGAAAAATGATTATCTTATACGATGATGATGAACGAATTGCTCCAAATGCTGCAACGAATTTGGTTGAATATGGTTATAACCATATTTTTTTACTTTCTGGAGGTAAAATTTTCTAAGAAATGATCATTTGAATTTCGATAAGATTGACAGTTTTTGTGATATTAGTTAAACAATTTCAAAATGTGTGTGTGTTTTTTTTGTCTTTTCAACAGTATAAAAGATAATAAGTAAATGGTATTCATTGAAATAAGAGGTGTTGATAGGAGCGTTTTTTTGTTTCCTCAACTGAAATGTAAAACACACTTTTCAATTGACTCTTAGATTTAATATTTCATAGTAAGTTTTAATAAGAAAAAAAACATTTGTCTATCCTATTACTGACTTCACTTCGTGTGATGATATGTTTTCATTATCATTAATGTTTATTATTTAATCAATTACTGAAAAATATAAAGAATATTATTTGAATTTTTCTATTTCAATTAACGAGTCATAGTTTTGTGACTAGTTTTTTTTTCAAAATTTTCGTTGATTTATTTTTAATTTTAAACTTACAGTACCATCATATTCTTATACGGCTATTGGAAATTCAACTAATAAAAAAGATACACAGACAAATGCAGCAATTGATTTTTGTCAATATCTCGTCTGTTAAATAATCTTTTCATTTTCAATAAAAAAAAGACAAATTATTAATTTAGGTTCGTGATGGGAAAATGCTCGAAAATGAACTTGAACCATATTTAGTAAAATATTTGTTTTTTCTTTATTAATTGAATTAATAAAATTTTCTTATAGCCATCAAAAAATGCATCTGTTCTTACTACATAATCACTTGGAACTTCACCTGCTGGCGTTGTACCACCACATATGTTGCAACGTAACACTACAGCAAGTTAGTTAAATTTATATACTGTAAAAAGCAGGATTGTGACAGATGAAAGATGCTAAGAATGAGGTCTTGACCAAAGAAGATAAACTTGAAAATATTCTATTTCTAAAATAAACATAGCATTTTTGATAAAGACAATCATTATTCAATATTATCTTTAAAAAAAACTCTTGTTCGTTGATAACCTTTATATGAGTTTAATTATCATCATTGATCATTTCATAATTATTGATCTTTTTGTTTTAGATGAAGTTGGTCCACCACCTACTCTTTTACCATATCAACCAGGACCACCATCTAATTATCTTGAACATATTCGTTCTGGTCGAAAAATGCTCAAAGAAGTTTGTAACAAACATTTTTCTCAAAAATCTTATAGTTTTTTTTTCTTTTTTATTATTTAGCAAGAAGAAACTGATACAAATGCAGCAATCCATGGAAATTGGACAATTGAAAATGCCAAAGGTCGCCTTCATCAATATTTACAAAAGAATAATCTTTCACAAGAATATAAATATACATCAAGTGGACCAGATAATCTTCGGTTTGTTTAATATTGATATGAGAAAAAAAAAATTTTCTATGGAAAAAGTGATAAATGTCCATACTTCGATAATTGATAAAATAATCTAATAACAGAGATCAATCGATTTTACTTTATATTCAAATGAATGAACACAAAACAATTTCATAAGTCAGATTGATTGATCGAGAAGTGAAAAATGAAAAAAAAATATAAATAAATGAAGTACGGCATTAGTCACTTTTTCTTCCATTATAGAGATTTTTCAATGATCAAACATATTCTAGAACATTTTTTGCTGAATTATCTATATATATACGAGAACGTAATCAAAGTAAGTTGAGAATTGAAATAAAAAGAAGGAATAGATTTTATTTTTGTTATAGCAATTCATGCACGAGAAAATGGATCAACAAAACAAATTGCTTCAAAAAGTTGTGCACTTGCACTTGTTCGACAACTTTATCATTTAAATATTATTGAACCATTTACTGGAGAAAAAAAGAAAAAACAAATTGAAAAAGTAAATTCACCTGGTTGTTTTTTGTTTTTCTAAATCGTATTTTAAAACTATTAAAAACAAATAGAAGAATTTCTCATTTTATTAATTATTAAAAAAATCTATACAATTGAACTTTCTATTACTTTCACATATGATTTTTGATTAGAATAAAAATTTTTTGAATTTTATGTTCTTAACAAACAATTGATGTCTTGATGAAAATAAAGCAATTTCATATAGTACTAATATTTTTCATCTCAGATTATTTAAAAAATTGTGAAAGAAATATCTCGAATCATCCAAATTTAACATTTACTATCCTATTGCTTATTTGAAATTTGATACGATTGATCATTATTTT